GCACTGTTATGGGCACAGCTTGTGATGGGCAAGAAGCAGGATGAGATCCCTATTTAGCAGAAAACACAGACAGGTTTTTATGGAAAAGGAAAGGTCGTTCAGAGGATGAAGCCCAGAAGGTAGAAGCAACAGCTGAGAAGAACAATGAATTAGAGATTTGTCTTAATGAAAGAAACTTTCCTATCACAGGCCTGGCTCTGAGAGGAGGGAGTCCTACTCACAAACCACTCGTTGGCTTTCTGAATTCCTATGGCCCAGTGACTGCTGTGTGCCTCAGATCTCCACCTCCGCATTTTAGTATGTTTTTCTTTGTTTGCTTGTTTTTATTTTTTTGAACAGTTATCCTGTCATTATTTCACCCTTTTATATTGGGGATGGGTAAGGTGGATAACTTGACTTTACAGGTTGGTATAGATCAAAATATTTGGGAGTGAGTACGTGACACTGTGATGGGCTAAGACCTTGGGGGGCCTTGGAGGATAGTGAATGTGTTTTGCATGTGGGAGAGATTTGAGTGACCAGAGGTAGGACAGATGATGTTAGATTGTAACCATAGTGATCTCTCCCAATTAATCACACCTCCTTTTATACATGTTTCTCTGTAATGTGACTTTTATGTACTTCCTATCAAAAAAGGGGAGTCTATTTCCCAACCTTCTGCATATTGACTGGTTTTGTAAATTTCTTTGACTGGCAAGATGTGGCAAATTAGATGATTCCTTGGGACTCAGGAACCACCTAACTGAAAAATACTGGGAAGAAGACCACAAAGGAAGGAAGGTTCGGCTGTTCCTAGACACTGATTCATCAACTGAATGCAGCTACGTGAAGGAGGCCAGGAGAGAGACAAGTAGACCTGCCCAGGCAACCCCACAAACCAACAGAGATAATAAATCATTGCTTTTTTAAGTCACTAAGCTTTGTAGAGGTGTGTTGCCTGACAATAAATAACAGCACAATATTATCCTAGGCTCAGCTAAGGAATATAGACAAAGAGTAAGGCTGAATTCTGAAAACAATAATGTATCTCTGCATCCTTGACTCTCTTTTCCTTTCACTGTTTAGGAGATGACAAAATCTGGAATGGCTGCCTCGGTTCCAAAGATGGAAGTCATATGCTCAGGATGTCAGAGTCAACCTGTCAACTCTGAACTGCTCATATTTGGACCATGATATAAGAAAGAATGAACTACTTTGTTTAAATCTTGCTAAGCATCTGTGTTTGTGAGTTTCTGTGTTACAGTCGCTGGCTAGATCTGCATTTTAACTAAAGCAGACTGCCAAATTCTTAATTTCATTAAAAGAGGTAGACTCATCAACCCTGCTACCTGAACATCAAATACCTAAAGCATTTCAGTCTCTCACTTTGATAAACTACAAAGAACACTGACATGAAAGACAAAAATTACTTATAAGTTGACTTGGATCCACTGATTGAAATAGCTTAATGGCTATGTCTTGAAATAGATGGTGTTTAAAGATTATGTTTCAAGGTTTATCAGACTAACACAGAAACTTTTACATCTTTGACCAAATCAGTGTCTTTCTTTTTCAGGAAGTGTTCCTACATGAACACTGAAGGTGTCATTTTTTAAGGTATGTATGCCTAAGTAATGACGGAGGCAGAGACTGCAGCCAGCTTCTCTAGCTGAATGATGCATAACAAATTTTCTGACCAATTAGGTGAAAGATTTCACAGACAGAATAGTCTCTAAAAATTTTATGAATAAGCCACTTTTATAAATTGCTAAGCATCTGCTATTATATCAGTCAGGGTGAAATGGTTACTGTGGTAACCAACAACTCCCAATCTTGTAGTTTAAACCAACAAAAGTTGATTTCTTGCATGTCCAGTGTAAGTTGGCAAGGAAGTCTGGTTATTGTAGATACTCAGGGACCCAGAGTGATGCAGGCTTTGTTTCAGTGATGCTTCTATGAAGCAGGGACATAGAAAAATGCACATGAGCTCTTAAAGTCAGGTTTCATGTCCATTCACATTTCATTAGGCCATGAAAAACTTCAAAGCTGTGGGGGAAAGTATAACCCTACCTTGTTCCAGGAAGGAAGAAAGTTGAAAATATTTCTTAATTACCCTACTGAGTATCCCAACCACATGCTACATCATCAGGAAGCAGTGCAAAAAGACTTTTTATATCATTTCAGCTCTGAACCCAGCTGCCTTGACTAAGTTACAGTTAAGGTTACATTCCAGAATTCAATTAAGTGTCCACTTGGGCTGGGGCTGTAGTTCAGGGCAGAGCGCTTGCCTTGCACATGAGAGGCACTGGGTTCGATCCTCAACACCACATACAAATAAACAAATAAAATAAAGACATGCTGTCCATCTGCAACTACAAAAAATAAAATAGAAAAAGAAGTGTTCACTTGAAGAATGTTTCCTTCTTTCTTTTTTTTTTTAAATGATAGAGTTAAAGATAACCATCTTTGTGTAACCTATGCCATCCGGTGCAAAGATGCTATGAATTAATTCTAGAATACTGAACCTGGAAAAAATCGCATTTTAAAAATTGGAATATTTCAGTTTTTCTTCTTTTTACTTAACAATGAGAACTAAATTGTGCTATATTTTTCCCCCTTTGTTCTAGCTTCCAGGAAGCTAAGAGTTCAAATTGTTGCCCTATTAATAAAACGGGTTCACTTCCAATTCCCTCATCAATTGTTTTACTCTTTCTCTCTATTGTCTTATTATTTGTTTTAATGGTCATTTAAAGGGGTTGTTTATTTTGCAAGATACCTCAACTTGTCCTCGAAAGGAGGCACTAAATCACTAAATATCTACAAATGGCAAAAGCCTGATGTAATGATGCCTGACAGCTCTCTTTAGACTTCAACGGCTTTTGTTCACTGCTGTCTACTCAATGCCCTGAACAGTACTTGGCACAGGTAGGTGTGCAATAAATCTTTGTTGAATGAATTAATGGGAAAGTGAGCAAATCCATCTCAATTACAAGTATGTGTAAGCATATGTGTAGCGCAATTTTGTTCTAGAGTTCTTTACCTTATAAGTCATTACTTGAAGAGAAACAGACACATTATATAAAATTTTCCAAGTTATTGAAATTCTTGAAATGTAGCTATTGAGATAAATAAATGTTCGAATGAAATGGTAGCTGTGGTACATAATAAGAAAGATTACCTTACCTGGCTGCAAGATTCCTTGGAATAACAATGGTGATTCTTGTCCACTCTTCAAAGTCCCCTGTATGATACATGGTGGGCTCACTCAGTTCCCTGGAGCTCCCTTCGCATCCTTTGCCTGTAGAAGCTGGGAAACAGCCTTCTTTCACCAGAAACCAAGACATTCCAGCATCATGAGAGTACTGAAGAAGAACTGGGGAAGTATTGCTGAACTGATTGGCACATCCTATGTTTAGCTGTTAAAAAGGACAGAATTACACAAGGTTTTGGTTCCAAGACATCATCCAACAAATTAGGCACTACAGCAGCCAGAGCCCTTTCTACTCAGTCTGCATGAAAACACAATGTCAAGACTGTGCAGCTCAATCCCAACCAAAGCCCTACCATAAATTCTGGGATTTGTTGGTGGATACAAGCAGCAAGTAATTTTTAGCAGAAAGCTGAACAAGCTACCAACTTTATGGGTTTCTTGGAACTATAAAAAAGAAGAAAAAAGTATAATGTCTGTGTTTCTGGAGTCTCAGACAAAAGATAAAAACCAAGAAATTGCGTCCTTCTCTCTCTTGGTATAAAAAGGGAAAGCAGAAGATGGAGAAGCAGGTGTTTTCCTCAGAGCAGGAAGAGAAGGATGGGTTCTCTGCTTTCCACATAACCAAAATCTTTATTCTGGTTTTTTTTTTTTTGGTCAAGACTTACTAAGAAATCAGAATCAGCTTAGATGAAAGTGCCAAATTTTTGCTACAGCAAAAATTAAGCAACATAATTAAGAAAAAGAACTATTATCATTCTGTCCTTGAGTAGAGACTGTCATAGGATTCATAATGAAAAAAATTGTAAAAAAATGCAACCTAAATCCTATTGCTTAGCATATTTTTATTTTTCTGTTTTCCTTTCTTCTTTTTATATGAGAGTATATATTTCGGACATGTCGTTGAGATTATCACATTTCTAGAACTTTCCTCCTATTTTCTATTTAACATTACTTTATTATCTTATGCAACATAGCAATGAATATATCTTTTCCTTTTCAGTTGATTTTTTATCACCAAATAAATCCCTAGGAATGGTATTACTGAGTCAAATTTAGAAACACGTTTTACATTTTCTAATTATGGATGTTCATTTAGTATCAGTTTGGTTCAAATAGATCAGTTTTACCGCAGCACTGGGTATTATATCAGCTTAAGAGTTTCTTTCTAAACTAATACATACATAAATAAATTTTAATACTGTTTTAGTTTTCAGTTTTGATAGCTATAACTTTCAAACATTCCCCCTATTTATTTAATTATTGGTGTCTTAGGTGAATGGTCTGTTTAGATCTTATTCACATTTTTGACTGGAGCTTTGATGGGATTTTATTTCAGGAGACTTTAAAAATAAGAATAGTCTAATTACAAGAAAAATTGCAGTAAGGAACCAAAAGAACATGGTTATGACCAAAGACTAAAGGAAGACATAAAGGTAGAAAGGG